TATCCCCCCCCCCCCATCTCCCTAGTACTCCATCTAGGTTCATTCACCACCCACCCCCCACACACACACACTTTCTCCCTAGTATGCTGTGTGGGCAGCCTTCTGGGTCACCTGGAATGTTTTTATTACCTGCTTCTACCTGGAGGTGGGAGGCCTCTCCAAGGTGAGTAAAGTCCAAGAGACCTGTGCAAACAGAGAGGGCATGGCCACTGTGGGCACTACATGCCTTAGTCACCTGTCTGCCACATAGAGAGGCAGGGCTAGGTCTGCTTGTGGCTCTGTCTCTGGCCCCAGAAAAGGCCTGGCCCATAGCAGTGACAGTAAAGGTCTGAGGAAAGACCAGTGATTTGATGGATGGATGAGGAGCTGTGGATACTGATGGACTGGTAGTCTCCAACTGGGGAAAGATGCACCAGGGAAGGCTTCCTAGAGGAAGGGGCCTCAGATCCTGGGCAGCACCTAAAAGGAGAATCAGGGCTGGAGGCCAGGAGAGACCAGCCCTGGCAGAAGTGTACAGGTGGGAACACCACCTTGCGGGGACTTGGCCTGGGCCAGGCAGGGCCATGTTGCCCTCCTGCATCCTCTGGGCTGCTTTGCTCCTTCAAACGCTGATGAAGTCCTTTGGTCCCTCCTGTGGGGATCGATGGGGACCACATCCAAGCCATGTTTTGCTAGGAGTATCCCCATATGAAGTTATGGGGCTGGGGACACCAGGGCTCCCGAAGTCTGTCCCCTCCCAGCCCTGGAGGCAGCGTGGGCAGGGGAAGGAGCCTGAGCGCTCCACCCCAAGTAGCCACCCTATGCCTGAGTGGCTACTTGGGGCACTTGGCACATAGCAGTTTATTTCATCCCTGCATGAAGCTCAGAGGTAAGTCTTCAGAGCCAGAAGTGGGTATGGGGTTTGACTCCAGGTGCCAGGTGGGGAGCAGCTGGGAGGGCTTTGGTGCCCTTATCCCTTGTGGAGTGAGGGTGGAGTCCAGGGTGGAGGTTGGTGGTGTCTCTGGTGCTAATCTGGTCACACCCCATCACCCTCAAGACAGTAAGCTTTTGACCTTCAACTTCTCTAGACACCGCTCCTGGTGGGGTGAGCATGGCCCTGGCTGTCAGCACGAGGAGCCAGTGGCAGGCTTGGGGCCCCCTGATGGCCAGGCCCTGGTGCCAGGTGTAGGCTGCTGCCTGGAGCATGGCTATGTGGAGGCCCTGCACAGCACCTTGCAGATCCTGGTGGCGGTGAGTGTGGGGGAGGGGTATGGGGTGCGGGAAAGGGGACTCATCAACTATGGTAGAAGGGCACAGGCCTTTCCTGCTCAGAGGGCCACACTGTCCTTCACCAGGTCAGGATGCCCTTCCTTGCCCATATCCCTACCCAAGAGATTAAAGACTCACCCCACCCCCACCCCCACCTATATGGCTTGATCCACTGGAGCCTCGTTGTCCTGCTCTGTAAAATGGGCTCAGGACCAACTGTGACCCCAGAGGCAGCATGAGGATGAAACAAGGGGTTAGGACCTGCAGGTCCTGATGAAGTTATGGGGCTGGGGACACCAGGGCTCCCGAAGTCTGTCCCCTCCCAGCCCTGGAGGCAGCGTGGGCAGGGGAAGGAGCCTGAGTGCTCCACCCTGGCCAGCCAAAGGGACCATTTCCTCACCAGCCACTCAGCAAGGGTCTGGGAAGGGAGGCAGGGACCCAGCCTGGCCCACACCTGCTAGCTGCTTTCTGATCCTGTGGTGCTGAGAGTAGGGTTGCAGATTACAAATAAAAATACAGGTTGCTCAGTTAAATTTGAATTTCAGAGAAACAAGTAAGTTTTAGTGAGTGTTCCGGGCCATGTTTAGGATATACTTACACTAGCACACACACATTCATTATGTATCTGAAATTTAGGTTTAACTGGTCATTCTGTATTTTATCTGCAACCCCAGCAAAGAGAGTTGACTTAACGTAAGGGGCCTGGGTTGGCAGGAGGGTCTGCAGGGCTTGGGGGTACATACTTTGCCTTGGTAGGAGCCAGCCCTCTGCTGTTTGCTTTGGAGGGTCCAGGAGAAGTTGACCCTTGGATGGCCTCATGCAGTCCTTCAGGAAGAAACAGTCAGAGGGGCCAGAGCACCCGGTGCTGGGGGATCTGAGACTGCAGGTCCTGCAGGCGTCTGGAGAGCTTTGTGGAGGATCTGGGGCAGGAGTCCAGAGGATGGACCCCAAGGGGCTGTGGGAAGGTAGAGTTGTAGCAGATGGCGCCTCCTCTCCCAGAACCCCCACCCCAGGAAGAGCAGGGACGCAGGAAGCTTTTCAGCACCACGGCCAGCTACCTGGCTTGCTCCTTCTACCTGGCCCACGGCGTGTGGGCAAGCTGCTCAAGTTGCTCGTCAGTACTGAGGAGACAGGCCTCCGAGTGAGCGTGCAGAAGGCCCATGGGCTGTCCCCTGGGAAAGTGGGGGCCTCCAGAGCAGGGGCATGAGCTCAGCTTTTCCAGCACCTCTGTCAGCCCTGATGGCGGTGAACACCACACTCCAGAGTAACTCATCCTGTGGGTAGTGTTACCTGGGCCACGTGAGTGTGGAGGGCTCGGGCCATGGGCAGCCCTGGCCTCGCACCATCTCAGCTGAAGCCTTTTCTTCCTGGTTGCCTGCTACCCAAGGGTACAGGGGGGAATGAGATAATGAGGGCCTGCCCTTTTCCCCTGAAGTCTGAGCACCCTCCAATGAGGGCCCCTGCCAGGCCAAGCCCCGGAATCCCTCAGGGCAGCAGCTGGCCCCATCCACTCTGCCCAGAATTGCCTGGGTCTGTCTCTCCTGCACTGTCATCCAAACCATGGAGCTTGGCTGGCTCACAGCTTGTCAACTAGAACTGCCTGGAGACGACCCATTCCCCAAGGAGGGGAAACCCAGTGAATGGCTGTGTAAGGCACCTAGGGAAGTGGCCTGGCTGTAACTCCGGGGTGGGCCTCAGCCTGGGGGGCCATCCAGGCTGAGGTCACATGTCTCCAAGGGCCTCTCTATGCATCTCACCCGTCTGTTAAGCAGGGACTTGGTCATCTTCCCGGCTCTCTTGTTCAGTGGCCAGCCCTCACCCCTGGAGGCCCTCACCCATACTTTGCCCCTCACCCACAGGGACTGAGCCAGCCCTGCTAGGGAAGTCAGACACCGTCTGGAACTTCAGAGCTCAGCCGGCCCACGTCCCGAGGTGACACTCCTGCAGCTTGCCCGGTGTCCGCGCCTGGCCTCTTCATGTCCTTCAGCTGGTGGGCTTTGCCTGTGCATGCTACGTGGTCAGCATTTTCACTGAGGACGAAGACAGCTGTAAGTGTGCCACCCAAGGGCTCCCACAGAAGCCTTTCAGAGACCCAGCCTGGCCTGGCAGTGGGGGAGGGAGAGGGGAGCAGAGGGTTGGCCACAGAGGTGGCATCTCTGAGTTCTCCTGCCCTCCTCTCTTAGATGG